CCGATCTTGTACTGGAGCTTCGAAACCCCCAACCCGAAGCTCCATTCCCCCAACTCTATCACCACGTTCCCCAACAACCTCCCCCACCTCCTATGCCCATTCCTGACGATATTCCTTCACCTATTATACAACGACCAACTCAACTTCGTATGCCAACTCCCGGACCATCATCCAATATCTTATATCGGGCGACTCTACGGGATACTTCATTCGATCCCAACGATCTCCCTCCTCTCCAATACCCTCCGACACCGACTCCCCCATCTGCTCCCCAAAAGGAGATCATCGACGTCGACGACCCCACCCAGTCATGGAACCAACCATTAGGTTCCGAACTGAACCCAATTTGGGTTCGCGACTTTATCTCCCGCCTTCGTCAAATTGGAATTCCGACATGCAACCTCTGCCGAAAGACGGGTCACCTTGCTAGCCGATGCAAGGGTAAAGGTAAACTCCAGGAGTAGTTTAACTCTAGTAGGGGGGTAATGTTACGAACATGTATGCTTACTATACTGTATTACTATACCTACCTCATTTCCACCTTATGTTTTTCATCTCAACTCATCGTCTTACTCATGTTTACTGCGCATTGATGACTGCTGACTGATACTCATTAAAAACACACCAAAACCTACATACATTCCGCGGAATACGCATGTTATCCATGAGGACTACGCCTCATGGTTAACACACATCTTCTAGTATATAAACTCTCTAGTTCTCTTAGTTAGCTTCCTCACTTCGTTCTTAATTGTTCACAAAGCTATACCAAGTCTCAGTGCAAATACAAATATCTTTAATTATCACTCAAAGTCTAGCTCGAAGTTCACAAAGCTACAGGCGAAGAACTCTTGACGTAGTCACGAGTTGATTCATCGACCACAAAGTCGCTGAGTACTGGACGACACGTGTTTGTATCACGTATAGTCCATAACAGCAGTCACTACCTATATACGTCTGGGGACAAAGGGATGTCTATATACGGTAGAACAATAAGATGTCCGAATTGGGAAACAGGGATACAAGAGAACAATAGAACTACTTAATATATCCGAGATCAGAGAACAATAGAATGTCCGTATAAGGATACATGAAACGTTCGTACATAATTGGGCATCCTTGTACCCGTAAATGGAATAGAGGTGACATGTGCATTGTATTCCTAACACGGACAACAATGGAGCCATCTTTATCGGCACCAATCCCATTCAGGAACGTCGTATCAAACACATTGATGTTCGCTATCACTACATTCGCGAACGTGTTGAAGAAGGAGACGTTGAAATCCTTCGAGTTGATACAAACGACAACCCTGCAGACATGTTTACCAAACCTCTTGGTCATGTCAAGTTCAAGCAGTTCCGAGAACAGTTGGGACTTCGGTTCCACTAAGCAATCGACATACGCTCAGCGCGCTTATTGAAGGCTGCACTTAGCGAGGGGGAGTGTTGAACTTATCTTATCTTATCATAGATTAGATTAGATTAGTACGACTGAGTCCAGACTCTTCTGGAATGTTCCACCGTAGAATGTTCTGGAACATCACATGATGCATTACTCATCATTGCGTCATTATGAGTCATACGTAGTCACAGCTTACTCATTCGATTACTCATTCGTATAGCCTCACACAGCCTCTGTCACACATACTATATTTAGGTAATTTATGTCACATTCGTCACACACTCTGTACAGTATAAATACTGACCTCTGTGGTCTCTAATCGATAACTGTCTTACCACCAGTTTTACTAGCCACTAAGTTAGCCTCACTACACTCTATCTCCTGGTAAGTTCTAGAGTACACACCTGTAGTATATAGTGTTTGCTCGTCAGTGACACCCTGTATTACTAACTACAAGTCTCAGTGAAAAGAAGAAAAGAAGGTCCAATTCATTGACACTGATTATCCCAGGTGACAAGAAGGATCATTTGATATTTCATTGATTGAATGGTTAGGTACTTTTTGGTGGTGTCGTCTGCCCCTGCAACCCACGGATGTGGTCACATTTCTCATAGTGCTTTGGGTCATCATCCCAAACCTTTAACACTTTTCGTGTTTCATTGCTGAAGCACATCTCTCTTTCTCTATCATGCCTTGATCCATCTCATTTTGTGCATGTCCTGAGTGAAGATTACAGTATTGCCAATAGTTAGTAAAACACAGCTGCCAAAATAAAAATTTCAAGTGGTTACTCTGACAACCAACTGAGAGAAATCAAGTCTCTATAAATTACAATACAGCTATGAAGTACACGCAAAAGATACATTCAATATACAAAGCACAAGATCCATTGCCTATTCAACCATCCTTTCAACTCTCGGGCACTCGTAATATCTAGAAAGTGGTTTCACCAAAAAAGGCATACACAAATCCACAGCGCCAAGGCGACTACTTCGTCTGTAAATCATACAGCTCAACAACATGGTTCACGACTGCTTTGTCCCCCGTCGTCTAAAATATAAGATTAGAAAATCCTTTGGATAATTCCGAGCCGAAACGCCCAAGCCTCCAGTGGGGTTGACTTGACAGCAAACAGAATAAAACTCGAACAAGGAAATGATCCGTCCACAGAGTCCCAACCAAGCCCGAAAGAGATACAAAGAACGCACCTTGTTCAAATCATCGCTCAACTTGACACATGGCTTCCCTCCCAACACACCCAACTTTATCACAATATTCAACGCCTTACTCTTCGCCTTTCCACCGCTCGACTTGGTCTTGAAGTCGTTCGTAAAGTGCGTTCCGATTCCAAAGGACACTAAGAATCGGGGATGATGTATTAGTACCGGATAAGAGTAGGTGGAATGACAGACGAGATAGTGCATGGAATGCATGGAACCTTCGATTGACGCGAAGGTCGGAGGTGACGATCGGGCGAGGACAGTGGGAGAGAGGCCACGGGGAGGCTGGCCTCCACCAGACGCCCATCCATTCTACACCCGAAGACAGAAACGCCAATCGAAATGCGTTGATGACTCCGAGGACGACAACTATCTCCACCACCCGAGAAAAACCAAGAACACTCACCTTTCTCCAAACCCAACCCCCGACACTGGTCCCACAACCCAACCGCCTTCTCAACATTCAACGCATCCGAATAAACCAAAAGCTTCTCCTTCGGGTCCACTCCAAGCGCTTCATAAAACTCTTTCACCCGCGGAGCGAATAGCTTGGGATCACCGGAATCCTGTCGCAGACCCGTCCAACGTCGGACGCGGGGAGTAGATTGGGCAAAGTCCTACAACGGGCGACGAAACGAAAACAAACGGTAGATCAGTAAGTACCTACAAATGGCTCGGGACAACACACCTTGAAGAACGCATCGGTCGTAAACGTATCCGTGAGCGCAATAAGCGGCACGCCCTCGGGATAAACCTCCTCCCAATATCCAACGCCCCGCCATTCGCATTGTCATACCC